CACGACCAATAAACCAATTAATGTGAGCTGTTTTATTAAACTATGTGAGCAGCAACCAACAGCTGCCCACAGCTACCGTCAGCCAGTGGAGCTGAGTAAGGCAGTCAGGTAACAGTGAAATACTCACCACTCAGTGAGAAGAGGAGAATATCAGTCCGACTCCACACCATTAGCGTTTGATAAAAGGCCTATTTCGATGCTCTTTAAACTAAAAGTTAGTGTCTATCGTTGGCGAACAGGGTAAATATAGCTCAACCAGCTTCTTCTTCCTCTGCTGCTCTTTAATTGAGGTCGAAGGTGCAGTAGCGCCCCTGGTTGAAGCTGCGGCACACCGAGTAACTGCACCAGCAAGTGAATGTCAGTCCCTCTTGCAGACTTTTGATCATATCACATTAGTCTTCATCACGAGGAGTTTGTCTCAGCTTCATCTGCAAACATCTGGGCAAACTCCAGCAGCTTGGGCTTTGAACCTCTATCTCAGGATCGCTCTTTTCCAAACACAATGCCAATCCATATTAATTCATTATCTTTCTTCCTATGCAGTCAACAGTTTGCACTATTTAATACCTGTATTCTGCAGTTTTACACACATATATATATAATTTCTTACATTATTAATATGCACTGTTTACTGTTTGCACTGTGTTTGCACTGTTTACTCGTACGCTACTGTTGAATTTTGATATATGGTCATAGTACTATGATAATATTTTTGAGTATTTTATTTTATTTTTAATTCTATTTCTTTAAAAGGTTAGGGGTTTTTATTTTAGTTTAATGTATGTTAATGTATGGTTTTGTATTGTGTGTGTGACTGGATACTTGACATTGTTCCTCGGGAGTAAATAAGAGCTACTCTATTCTTATCTCTATCGTATATTAGCACACCATATTGCCATAGTTTTCATAGTCCTGGTCTATAGCCGTACTATTCTCTAAACTATACTTGCGCTGTAATTTTTTTGTGCTGCGTGCAATTATTTTTTACACCACTACCTCCTGCTGTCCTTAAAGTTCACAGCCTGTATATTAAAAAACAGGTATATAATGTAATATAACTCTTAAGTTCGTATGTTTTTTGGTTAATGTGTTTTGGGTTTTGTTATCTGGTGTGGTGTGCATCTGGAGCTGCTTTAGAAAAGAATGGGCCCCAGCGGGGGGCAGGCAAGACGAGTCTAGCGGAGCGAGCAAGACGGGGAGTCAAGGAAAGGCGGGGAAGAAGAAATGAAAGAAGCGGGCGGTGCCCGCAGACGGATGGCCAGGGAAGCAGGTGGAGGCGGCTGAGCAGGGGCAGGCGGGCCGGGGAGGGCAAGAAAAACGAGGGAAAAGCAGGACCGACATGACAGGGCGGTAGGGAAGAGAAAGAACGCGAAAGAGCGAGGAGATAAAAGACAAACGAAAAGAGAAAAGAGAGGACGAGAGAAGTGGGCCAAACGGGGGCCCATGGCGGGCGCAGCGAGAAGGGAAAATCAGGAATGAACTGAGAGGACACGAAGGAAGAACAGAAAGGAAACAACGAGGCCAAGGGAGAAAACGCGCAAGGAAGACAACCACAAGGACGAGCCGGATCATGTGTAAAGAGGACCTAAAGGGTAACAGAAAAGAGAGACAGGGACAGAGAAGAGACGTGATGTTAGAACGGGAGGGCAAGTCAGGCTCAAATCATTGGATACATAATAATTGAATGGAAGGGAAGGTGAGCGGGAAGGAAGACAAGAAACGAGAGGCGCGGGTTGTAGGTAATGGGGCATCCGATAGTAGTATCATATGTCAGCTGGTCAGGCTCATAATTATAGTGAAGAGCGGGAACGACGGCAGATGGTGTGTGATGGGCAGCAGAGGCTACGCCTGGTGGCAGAGAAAGACAGTTGAAAGCGCATTGCTGGCGGCGGCCCACACGGGGCCATCAGAATAGAGGCGCCACGCGAAGAGCGCCAGATGTTTTGGGTGTATCGGGGCCGACAGAACGTGAAACCGGCGCGCCAGAGCAGGGCACAACGGGCGCAGGAGCGGTCATTGTAAGACCAAACACACAACTGCACCCTGTGTGGGAGAAGGATACGCCGCGGGCAACCAAGAGCAGAGGAAACGCCAGTACGGAAGCGAGCAGGGCAGCGAAGAGCGGCCCGGCCACAAGACGGCGGACGAGCAAAAGAAACAGAACTGGAGCGTGGACACAGCAAAACCAGCAAGCACAAAACGGGGCGAAGGGAGTGCGGCGCGGGCCCTGCGGGGCAGAACAGAAGTGCTGTCCACAGTGGAATGTGCGGAGGAACCAAAGACAGGCGCCAAGTGGGGAAAACGGAGAAAAATAGATGGGATATGGTGCGGATTCGGTTAACTTAGCTATGAACGACAGCCGCGTGGGGTGCAAGAAAGCCGGGAAAGCCAACGCCAGGACGCATACGAAGAGAGAAACGTAAACGGGTCCCAGGAAAGTCTGCATGTGTTCCAGAAACGGCGAGGGTGTATGGGCGTAGGCACCAGAGTGGGATCTCGCACCAAGAGCGCGGTAAGCCGAGCGGAAGCCAAAGCATGAACAGCAGGTACGCTTTGAGGGTGGTTTTCTCGACCAGCGGGCCGGAACACGGACAACGGCGACAGTGTGGATCTGCTGAAGACGAAACAGCAAATGAGCGAGCTATCTTAGTGTGTATAAAATTGACGGTTTAGAGATAGGGGATGGTGCGAAATAAACAATAATGGGGGGGAGGGGTCAAGGCACGGCGGGTGGGAGACAGTGAACGGGAGGGAGCGGATAAAAAGGAGCCGAAAGGTGGTTTCGTGTTGTGTGACAATGGGTGTTGGGCTGGTGTCTTATGATTCTGGTGTGTACTATGTGCTTGGTAGGGCGCTGCGGTGGCGGCGGCGCGCGGACACGACAAGAGACAGGCAGGCGGACAGTAGCGAGGACAGAGAAACAAGCAAAGGGTAAGGAGTGAAGGAACGAGACAGAACAACAGAGCCGAACGGGAGAGGAACGGAGGGTCGGTGAACCGGGGGAGGCAGAGACGCGCGAGCGCGCGCCAGAAACAAAGACACGCAAAGGCGGAGCCAAGCGCAAAACAAGAAAGGCAGAGCAACAGGTGAACCGGCGGCCGGCCCAAAACAGTGATATAGAGTGCGCTGATTGTCATAATATGAGTGTTGGGACAGAGGGATATATATCAGAAAAAAGTGGGGGTGTTTGGTTTTTTGTTGTGTGGGGTTTGTGGGGTTGCGTGGTGGTGGTTTTGGGTGGGGGTGGGTTTGTTGCCGGGCCGCCGGTGCCGGGGCGACGGGGGGGCGGCCCGTTTCCCGTCGTGCGCCGGGCCGCGCCCCGCCCCTTTTTCTTGTTCTGTTTGTTGTTATTTTTTCGGCCTTGCTTGGTTTTTTTCGGGGGGCCCTTCCTATATGTTTTTCTGTTTATATGTGTTTTGTTACATGTTGTTGATAGAGATCGGTGCTTTTTCTCTCTATGTGCTGTTTGTGGCTTCGTCTCATTTTTGACTTGCTCCTGTCTTTCTGAATCTCTTTCTCCCTGGTGTTTTGTCTCAGTAGTTCTGATAGATCTGCGGTTCCTCCATGATTTTCTTCTGATGTTTAGATAATAATAAATTAAAAAATAATATAAATATTAATAAAATAATTTAAAAATTATAAAAATAAGACTAAAAAATTAAATTTAAAAGATTAATTGTATAGTTGTTTTTTTTGTTGACTTTGGACTGGGGTGTTGATTCTTTCGCTCTGACGTCTGTATGTTGGGTCCTCTTGTCGACATCATCGAGACCCTGGGTGCATGCTCTTCTGGAGGATGTAGTGTGTTGGGCGGTAAAAAATAGTAGTGCGAATGCATCCAACAGTACCAAACCACATGAGATCATCTAAACTTCAGTACTT